TTAGAAGACAAGAAAGTTCTGGTCAGTTTCTACTATTTCTGACTAAAATATTCCATGTTTCTATCAAAAATGAGATAGTTAATGAGCTTGATATTTTGTTGAAGCCAATGTACTGAATAGGAAAGGTGTAGTCTTTAAATAAGACAGTTTGGGTCTGAATAATGTTTAGTTTAAAGTGAGAATCATGTCAAATGTTGCTGAGAGTCTTGGCTATATATTCTTGGAAAGGAGGCTGGGAAGAAAACCAGAAGGGTGTGTAAATTATATCTTTATACATATACAACTTGTAGCATGAACATGTCACTTGACTAAGTCAAACTGAAGCAGCTTTTTTTTTCAAGCTGTGACATGAAACTTCCTTACATATTTTGATGTATTCAGATATTATACAAGGTATTCAGGTTATTTTTTTTATTTAGTTATTTAAGCATTTAGCAACCAAATCCTTGAATTTTTGAAGAATGAGGATAGAAACTATTACTGCAAAGATAGTTTTGTTTCAGATGATACCATGTGTCAGCAGATACATAATTTGTAAAAGTTTAGATGTAATGATGATACATATTAGTTGGTGATCAATTGATCAATAGGTTGCTGAAATCCTTAGAGACTGGATACATTAGGTACTTTTAGATGGAGGAAGATTTTAATGTGTGCTTAAGTCTGCAGATGGTCAGCAGTCCTTTCTGCTCTTTATATTCATCTGGCTCTTAACAATGAGGTACTGGGAGTGAAAAATTTGGGAAATGTAGAAGGCTACATCGATTGCTCAGTTGCAGATTGGATCATTCTAGAGAGCCAAGGTAAACATGGTGCTTGATGCTGATCTGGCAGGCAGCTCTGATTGCTGCACCAGGGTATTAGAAGGCAGTGGGAGTGCTGTGCTGCAGCTGGGGTGTGAAAAATGTTTTCTAAGAAGTGGTGACTGTATAAATAATACTGTGCAAGGGAAGTATAAAAATGCCGAGGGAGCGATGCTGTTACAATACTTAAAAGACTTTTTTTCCTTGCTTTCCTTTTGTTTCAAATTACAATTCTGATTTCCAAATTTGAGTTGGATAGGCAAGGAAATGCAGAGCCACTGTTTGTTACAGTGTATTTCTCTTACTTGAGGGAGTTGGGGTAGTGAGCCAGACCTAAGGGAGAGCAGCACACTGTCCTGGTTTCATCTGGCAGAGCTGCTTGCACCAGGGCTGAATAGTATGTCAACTAATATGTAACACTCATCCAAAAAGTTCAGTCTTGAATTATATGAGTATGACATTGCTATTGCCTCTGCAGTCATAAAAGCTTGGAGATCTCCTCTGAATGTCTTCTGCTTTCCTGTCTGCTGAGGGTAATTCTCTTGAGTCTTGAGGTTCACCTGCCCTTGCTGATGAAGAACATACCGTTCAGATGGTAATGCAAGAAGATCTGAACAGCTTGGTCTTTCTGCAGGCTTCCTGTTGATTTACAAATCAGAGCTGACTGATCAGTTTTTCTTTTAAAATCTGGCCTCTTTAGGCTTCAGTTTTTTAGGAAGCCATATGTAGTATTTCCTCTGACTTGTTCATAGCATGTAGGCATGAGGTGCTAGAAACTGCAGTACGTAAATCAAACCTCAGTTCTTAAACTGGCAGTACTCTGGTGCGGTAGAACAAAAGAAAGAATAAATGTAAGATGACTCATTCCAAAAACAGCTCTTCCTGTCTCCAAATAGAAACCTCAGACTTGCTCAATATCGTTTTGAATATAAAAATTGGGTGCTTAAGTTTCTTGTTAGGGTGTTTACCTCCCACAAGACATAGTACTGCCCGTTGTGTGTGGTGGTGTGAAATCTCCTGCCTTTGTGTTACAAAGTAGCCAAGATGTTTGGGGCAACTATTCTTCTACAAACATGCAAACTGTTATTTTACATTTTAATTTAATTATTATCATCACACCACTGATGGGAGCTATGTTGTCTGACAGAGTACAGCTTTGTGTACTTAATTTTACTCAGGAATAGTTCAACAGAAAATAAACTCTTAGGAGTTAAAATTCTTAAACTCTGTTCTGTATTTTAGAACCTGATCAAAGTGCCAGGTGGTTTAATACCAACCTAGGAAATTAGGCCTTTAGAACAGGCAAGCAGATGGGAGTGTGGTTAGTGTAGAAGAAAAACCTCATATCTGAGTCCTTAATTAATAATACCTCCCCATGATTTTGTGGGAAGTATCTGTCTGTACTGACATCAGGGCTAATGATATTTTCAAACCTGACCATTGTCAGTTTATCTCATGTCACGAGTTTCTTTTGAGCCTGGCCTTTTGTGTCTTGCTCTGATTGTCTCCAGCTTTGCAGGTAGTTGCTCTAGCCTGTTTCATGCATCATTGTTGGCTTGGCACTGCCTTGCAAGAGGACTTCCCTCTCTAACTTAGAGGGGAAGGTGTTTGAGCCTTCCTCAATTTTGCTTGGTAATATCAAGCCTGTTCTGACTTAACAGGATTCAAGGAACTACAGAGTTCAGGTATATAGAAATACTGCATTTAGTTAGCAGAGGGAGAAATCTCTTAGGAGGACTCTAGTGATTGGGATTTGAATGGAACATTTAGTTTAAAAATAATTATTTGAGCTGGCCAATTCTGTGTCATGTTCTCAGCTGGGAGCACCTCCACTGTGTATGACTAGTTTCTTTGTGGAAAATATATGCAACATTTATAAATATACAGACATAGAAATAAGGGTAAAAATGGGTAAGTCTGCATAACATGCTTTAAGAATCCTTTCTAATTATCTGCCACAAGAGCACAATAGCACAAGGCATTCCCATGCTATGGAACACGAGTGGATCCTTGCCCTTTCCTGTGTGAACCCTACATGTGTGAAGATCAGAGAGAGGCAGCTGAAGAGGCTTCTCTATCTGGACAGCTCTGCTCAGTTTAATTTTGGCTGAAATTTTAGAATCAGTTTTCAGTATGGAAGACCAACATAGACTGTCTATTTCACAAAACGTATAGAGTAATTTCAGTACTCAGTAACTGATAAAGTTTGCTTTAAGTGCCAGATTTGTCAAAGGCTGGTTGAAATCAAACAATTGTAATGAAATACATGACCGTGGCTTTTTTCCATTTGATTAATTAAAACCTTGCATACAGGCAGTTTGAAGAAAACAGATTTTGTTTAAGCCAGGTCTGTTGAATTACAACACTGATAGCATGTCAGCAGCCCATGTTAATATTATCTTTATAATGAAAACCTTTGGTAATCAATCATCACACAGTTATCTTGCATGTAGTGCTGGAGCTGAAAGTGATTGAGGAAGTGCTTTCTCTGAATCACAAGGTGTTTTTGAAATGGTCACTCCTGATCATCTTACTCTTAGGCAAAGAGTAAGAGCTACATTTACTGTATATAGGGCAGGGAGGTAAATGATCTTTTGTCAGACTTCTTGAGATAAATTTCTTTTAATCAAAATTCAGTTTCTAGGTTAGTAATTTCATTTGTAATGTAAATGGCAAACTTTTAAAGCAAAGCTTGATTAATGTGTAATTATTATTAGTGTATTTCTTAAATCTTAAATATACTTACACTGATACAGTTCTGTTGACTTTATCATAGTTAAGAGATCCTCTGATACGGTTGTGCTTAAGATTTTCCAATTTTCTGCTTGTATTTTGGCAACTGTGAGTTTGGTTTTTATGTATTTATAATTTTATGCTATCACATTCTGGTTGTATTTGATACATTATTGTTGCATTTCTTGAGGTTTTGCTGTTTGACTTTCAGTCCAAATGTGTCTCAAAGTGCTTCATCAATTGAATGTTAAGAATGCTGTGGGATTGCAGTATTGATGACAAGCAACTAAAATAATTATTCTCTGTCAAGAATATAAATTTAAATACTAAATGCCTCTTATTCTAAAAATATTTAGATGTTACCTATTTCTATGTTGATGTTTATGTATAGAGTGAAAACCAAGCATCTTTCACACATTACCCTTACCAATTGGAAAATATCACCAGTGATCTACCCCCCTCTCTCTACACAGAGGAAAAACAAACAAATCCCTTCAGTCCCAACAACCCTATGTACTACTGCAGGCTGGGGGCAGAGTGGCTGGAAAGTGGCCCAGTGGAAGAGGACCTTCAGGTGCTGGTCAGCAGCTGGCTGGAATGAGCCAGTGCGTGCCCAGGTGGCCAAAAAGGCCAAAGGCATCCTGACCTGGATCAGCAATAGTGTGGCCAGCAGAATGAGGGCTTTGATCATCCCCCTGTTCTTGGCACTGGTGAGGCCACACCTCAAATCCTGTCCTCAGTTCTGGGCCCCTTACAACAAGAAAGACCCTGAGGGGCTGGGATGTGTCTGTAGAAGGGCAGTGGAACTGGGGAAGGGTCTGGAGCACAGGTCTGGTAAGGAGTGGCTGAGGGAGCTGAGGGTGTTCAGCCCAGAGAAAAGGAGGCTCAGGGGTGACCTTGTCACTCCCTACAGCTGCCTGTCAGGAGGTCATAGCCAGGTAGGAGTCGGTGTCTTCTCCCAGGTAACAGGTGACACAGGATGAGAGGAAATGGCCTCAAGCTGCACCTGCAGAGGTTCAGGTTGGACATCAGGGAGAATTTCTTCGCTGAAAGGGCTGTCATACATTGAAACAAGCTGTCCAGGGAGGTGGAGTCGTCACCATGCCTGAGGCACTTAATGCTGTGGTTTAGTTGGCGTGGTGGTGTTTGGTGAAAGGTTGGACATAATGATCTTAAAGGTCTTTCCCAATCCTAATGGTTCTATGATTCAATACAGTGTGCAATGACTTAAGCTGGTGGTTGTTTTTAGAGAGCGTCTGATCTCTCAAGTCATAGGATGCAATCTGAAGGAGTAATGGTTGTGGTTTCAGAATTTCTTTTGGCTCTAAGCTATGCATTTTTGATATGTACTTGATTTCTTGAATTGCTGTCTGGTATGACTTTTTTCCAAAACCATATAATGGAAAATCCTTTTGGATCTGCAATATGCTAATATTGTCACTGACATAATTTTTTTTCTTTAAGGCAAGAACTTTTGAAGTGGAATGGATGGGGATATAATGACTCCAAATTCATCTTCAATAAGAAGGGTCAAGCAGAATTCACAGGAAAAAGGTACACTGAAAATTTATGTAAATGAAGTATCTTATTTAGTAGTTTATTTGAAAAGAGTTTAAAAGCTGCACAGTACAGTTAATTCAAAGAAGGCAAAGAAGTTGCTTCATTTCATATAATAGGTTATTCTGCTTTTAACAGGTTTATCGAAGTTTATACACAGGAGTCTGACAGTAAAATAGACTGTGTGGCTTATTGAAATGTTTATTCAAAATGTAATAAAGACAAATTAATGCGAGTCTTCTCTGTAACTTGATATAATCTGTGTGTTAATGAAATCACACTGAGAATCTGCACCATGTTCTAAAGCTTTAGATTACATGCAGCACGTCAGGGCAGTTTTGAGAATCTCTTGAGCATCAACTAGTTGCTTTATTAAATTTCCACTTTGTTTTGGGTTTCTTAACCACTGTGCATGGAGCTACTTCATCCTCTGAATTTACAATTCAAGGGCAGGTTTTATTTTTATGTTGTGTAGTGGCACCACTTCTGATTTATTATCCTCTAACCCTTTATGCAGCAACCTTCTTTTTCTGAGAAATATGTTTTTTGAGAAACCACATAAAAATCAATTCTACTTGGGGTTCTCTTAATTTTGTTCCAGTGAAATGCAAACGTGCCACCATCTTACTGGTTTGGTTCTTTTTTTCTTCATGAGTGGGAAGTAACCTTGCAGTCTCTTCCCTGGTTTAAAAAATACATTTTCATAAGAATTAAAAAAAAAAAGAATGGAGAAGAGAAAAAAAAATCTGTCTTTCCTACAAATTCCTTCCTAGTCTTGGAGTCTGTAAACTAGCATGAATTAGCTTGAGTCAAAGCTGCAAATACCTAACTGGGGTCTTGAGTACTTCAGTTGCTAATTTCTTGATTTCCAGGCCCAAATTAAAATGCAAAGACTTGTATAAGCCAGTTCACTGTATAATATTTAGGGAGATGCTGTACAGAAAATCAAAGCACACTAAACAAGAAAAAAGATAAAGGTCAAGTCTTCTGGTTTTTTTCAGAAAGAAGCATCAAGGCTTCTTGACTGCTGTGTGACTGATATGTACCAGTTGCTATTCTAAATGGTGTTTTTTCCCTCATCCACACTCCCTAATTGAGAGATAACATTAAAATATGTTGTTGGGCCACCCAGTAGAGTTTCTATGGAATAGTTTGCTACAGTGGCAAAAGGAGAGTGTTTGAAGTGAAACTGGGAGAACAAGCATCTGCACAGTTGGTGTAGATGCCTCCTCCTTTCAGTACCGACTGACAGGTCTGTTGTCCATAAATTTGTGTAGTAACCTCAAGTCTGCTTGTACAGTCTGCCTATGCAGCATCCAGTGGCAGCAAGTTTGAGGTTGTTGATATGTAAAATACTTACGTTTTGGAACAAGTATCCCTTACTGTTTTGCAGGACTAGGTGGATGATAGTTCTTCAGCTTATCTACTGTGTTAATTGGTTTATAAGGCTCAGCCATATCCTCTCTTGCTTTTTCTCTCCATGCTTGCCAAGTCCTGGACCCTTCAGTCTCTGCTTGTAAGGCCCTTTGGTCTTTACAGTAGTTCTTTCACCTTCTCTAGCTCCAGTGGATCTTTCTGGAGATAGGGACAAAGACTGTGCAATGCAAAAGGTGTGGAAACAGCAGTGTAGTGTTCTACAGAGCTGTATCTTTTCTGCTGAAAGAGATGAACTGTCTTCTTTCTTACACCTGCCCAGCTGATGCATAGCACTGTGGGCTGCTGTTGTATGTGGTCAGTGAAGATGCCGTGATACTGACTACTAGTGGAATTCTGCAAAATGTGCAGGAATGCTTTTTTTTTTTTTCAGCTTTTGCAGTTATCTTAACTTCCATCTTTTTTTGTCTACTTATGTTTTTTTTAAAGGTCCCAAGTTCCAATCAATGTGAACAATAAACTCTGCCCTTTGCTTCTTAACTTAACCGTATCTTATCCTTCAGCCTGTAGAAGAACCTTTTCTTCTGTACTGTAGTAGTGTATTTTCTTAAATAATTTTTGGGATGAACACCTGTGGAAATATAAAGGAGCGTGGGATTTCCTGTTCATTGTATCCCTTTTATTCACCTTCTGTTTTTACACCCTGATAAAACTCCAGGGATTAGTGAAACAGGATTCCCCTTCATGAAAGTTGTGTTGACTTTCCCTACAGACCATGTGTCAAATGAGATTTTATTATAGACTCTGCCATCTCCACAGGGATAGATGATACTTGCTGGTCTGAGCAGCTAAAGCTGGTTTTTGGAGTGTGTCTGTGACAGGTGGTTTTGGGGGAACTTCTTGCACTATCAGTGTATACATATAAAGCTTGCTTCCTGAGCAATCATGCATTGCAGTAAACTAACTACTTCTATGCTGTGACATCTGTCTGTGTCTTGACTTAAAAGTTTTGAGGTTTCTGATAGCTTTAGTTGTTCTTTGAGTGGGTGATAAAGGTTCCCCTCCCAAACCAGCGATAGTTTGGTAATACTAAGAAGTAGGTCTGGAGAAGAAAACACACCAAACTGACCTGGGTCTCTGCCTTCATTAAACTTTCATTGCTTATTGCACTTTCCTTTTCATAGAATTCATATAATTTTTGTATGGTGTGATGAAACAGTAACAGCTGTCACAGGAGGAATGACTGAACACTGTCTTCCATGCTGAAGAGTCTAGCTTGAGTTAAGGTTGTAGCCTGTTACTTCTAGGTGTAGAGTAGGGGGTTTGTCAATAGAGGAGCAGGGAGGGTAGTTGAGATGAGGAAACAAAAAGAATTGATCTTTCTGTGTAACAGGTGACTCAGTTGTAGAGTTGGTTGCACCAGCTGTGAAGGACAGGGTCATAACTGGATTTACAGTGACTGAATGATCTTAGAGGGAGGACCCAGTTAGGTCTAATGTAATGACCCAGGTGAAAACTATGGTAAGGATTCTCAGCTGCTGAAAGCTCTTAATACCAAAGGAAGATCTCATCTCTCCTCTCTTCTGGGAATACTTTTGCACACATGAGCATGCTGAAGGTGTGTATATGTTTACAGTTAGTAGCAGTAGTTTCTAGCTGTTTTCAGTGTGTTCCCAGCCTTTCATGTTTTCACATGTGCAAATGTACAAAACAAGCTCCTGTCCCTTGTCTGTAAGTCTGCATTTGTCACATGGCTAAGCTCTTGCCAAACAGTTTGTGCTGGAAATAATTTTACAGTGCTTGATGGATTCTGATGTATTTTGATGATGAAGGAGGAACCTCTAATGCTGTTTCTGTTTTTGTGAAAGCATAAGGTGTACTGAAATGGGTTTGTGTGTCTGAGACTACCTTGCAGTGTGTCCTCTGTCTGTAACTGGCCTGTAAATTCTGGTGCTGCTTTCTACACTACTGCAAGGGCAAGAACTTTCTTAAGAGTGGTGGGGTGCCCAAAGCAAAGTGATACCATGCTGACAAATGATCTGATTCTGTGTGAAATAAAGAACTGTTACATACAATGAAATACATAGTTGTTTGAAACGTAAATGTACGGAAGCCTTGCAGGCTTGTAGGTAAAGAGTTTGATTTAAAACTTCTGTTTGTGCGTACATAGAATTGAAAGAAGTGTATCTGACATACATTCTTTTAATTTAAAATGACCCTATGTAATATTGACTTTTCAGGTACAGATTAGGTGGTATGGTATTACCAACTTTTAAGGAATGGATAGAAAAAACGTTTGGAGCAAGTCTGGAGCACAAAACTACCTCTAGAGTAAGTAAATAGCTGAACCAGTTCCTTTAAACATTAGTCTTGGTTGGATAATCAAGACCACACTGTTAAAGATGATTCAGCTGTCACACATAATTGATTTAAATGTAGTGTATTAATACCTCCAAGTTTTTGGAAAAAAAAAAAAAAAAAAAATGGTTTAGAAATACTATGTGAAACCTTACATGTCTTAGCATGACTTGTGGTTTCGTACATTTATTGAAATTAAAGTTTCCAGCACAGGGAGTTTTTTGTCCTGCCTGTAGCTTGCATTTCAAGACTGTAGAAACTGTTAGCCTAGAGGGACTTGTTTATGCAACATCAATGTTATTGATGATAACAGAGACAGAAAATACAGGGAAGTTAAACTGTGATGTGTTTTTGGTGTATTGAAAGATGTCAAAGTTCTTATTTGGCAGTAATTTTTATTTACATGTCTATGTGCTGAAAACTGACTACCAGAATACTCAAGATTGAACTGAATGCTTTCAGAAAAATAACACATTTGGAATGTTCTGGGTTTTGTAAGTCATACATACTTTGCTTTTTAGAAAGAGTAACTTATGTTGGAGTCAGGAGTCCTGGCTCCCTTACTAGAATCCCTTTGAAGCTTCAGGTTCCTGACTAGAGAGCTGCTAAAGCAGTATTGGAAGCAGGCTGTGCTTGTACTGTGATTGTAGCAACACAGCTT